ATTAAAATTTTATACGTACTTGCCCTTTTAACCACTGGGCATAGTGTTGATCTTTACGATCATTGATTTCAGTTTCAGAAACTCCAGATATGCATTCTTTAACCTCATCAACAAATGTGCTGAGAAAAACAACAAATAGTTATTAATACTGACAACTCATATAAAGATATTATTAATTAAAAAGGTACCTTTCATACGATGACAACTCTTCACAATTTAACAGGATATACGTATGTGCACTGTGATAATCTTTTTCATTGGACCACCAAACATCTTTTAGTTTTCCACTAAAACGTCCGATCGGCGAGAATATGTCAGGTACACCTTCAACGGCATAAGTATGGCCAACTCCTCCATCATCATATCGACGAGTAGCTCTTTTGCGTGTTCGTACTTTCGGTGCAAAATAGTATGAAGTGAAGTGTGAAGTCTCTTGCGTTAAGCTTCCCGCCACAATTGAGCCTTCCACTTTAGCTAGGTTTTTGGCTTTACCTTTAAGATGCTTCATGAAACGCTCGAACGGATACATCCACCTGTACTGAACGGGTCCACCGAGCTCTGATTCGTATGGGAGATGAACAGGAAGATGTTCCATAACATCAAAAAATGATGGTGGGAAGATCTTTTCCAAATTGCACAACAAGATTGGAATATTCAATGCCAGTTGTGATATTACATCAACTGATAATGTTCGTGTACTAAGATCCCAAAAAAAAGCATCAATGCCTCCAATAGCTTCATGGACGTTTTTGGGCAAGAGTTCAGCAAATGCAAATGGAAATAATCGTTGCATAAAGACATGGCAGTCATGGCTTTTCATCCCAGCAAACTTTACCCCCTTCTCAACAGATTTGGAAAGATTAGAGACATACCCATCAGGAAATTTAACGTCAGAAGAAACCCATCTGAACAATGCTGACTTTTTATCTGCACTCAACCGAAATACAGGAACTGGTGCTTTCCCGTTTCTCAGTAGATGCAACTCACTTCTGTTGCATAAATCAGGCAAGTCCAATCTTGATTTACCATTGTCTTTTGTTCTTCCCGCTACGTTCATAACTGTATGCATGATGTTATCAAAAAAGTTTTTTTCAATGTGCATGACATCAAGATTGTGTCTGAGCAGATGATATTTCCAATAAGGTAGTTGCCAGAAGATACTTTTCTTGTGCCAATTATGATGAACTCCATAACCTTCAGGCATATTTGCAGGAGTGTGCCAGTTTCCCCCACGAGTTACTGTTTCTTCTGCCCTCCAATGATCTATTTGCGCCTGTATATCAGCTCCTGTTAAATTAACGGGTGGAGGGACACGTACACTTTTGTTCTTCAAAAATAACCTCTTGTTCCTCCGATATGGATGGTTATCCGGTAAAAACCTCCGGTGACAATCAAACCAACAAGTTTTTCTAACATGTTTTAGCTGAAACGCATCAGTTCGATGAAGACAATAAGGACAAGATAGCCTCCCATGTGTAGTATATCCTGATAGCATACCGTAAGCGGGGAAATCGCTTATTGTCCACATAAGCACAGCCCGCATAGTAAAATTTTTCCTCGTAGAACAGTCATATGTACGAACACCAGTATACCATAACTGATTCAACTCATGTATGAGTGGCTGAAGAAATACATCGAGAGCTCGCTTCGGATGATTTGGACCTGGAACCAAAATACTTAGGAAAAGAAATTTCCTTTGCATGCACAAATCTGGAGGAAGGTTATAAGGAGTTAGGATTACTGGCCATAATGAATATTGTCTACCAGACATACCAAATGGACTAAAACCATCAGTGCACAGACCAAGATAGACATTCCGTTTGAACTTAGCAAAATCTGGGTATACCATATTGAAGTGTTTCCATGCCTTTGCATCTGATGGATGAACAACTTCTCCATCTACTTGTGTATGTTCCGCATGCCATCTCATTGATGCAGCTGTCCTTTCAGATTGATAAAGCCGTTTTAACCTATCAGTTATAGGGAGATACCACATACGTTGGTACGGTATCCTTTTACGCCCACCAGTTTGAGGTCTGTATCTTGGTTTATGGCAAAATCGATATTCCTCCAGCTGATCATTGTCTTTCCAAAAAATCATACAATTGTCAATACATACATCTATCATCTCAGAAGGTAGACCAAGACTAAAAATCAACTTCTGAATTTCGTAGTATGTTCCCGCTGCCAAGTTATCCTCCGGTAGATACTCCTTCAGAAGATCAGCTCAATCATCCATGCAAACCTCAGCCAGGTTATGATCTGTTTTAATTGACATCATCCTAGCTGCCAACAATAATTTAGACAAGCCTTCTCTACATCCTTCGTAGATTGGCTGATTAGCATTGTCTAACAAATCATAAAATCGTTTGGCATCTACATTAGGTTCCTCAACAGCATTACCCGTATGCGTTTCTTGAAATGCATCAGTCACCATTTCGTGCATCCTATCATGATCTACACTTTGGTCATATTGATACTGATTAGGCTGATGACCATAATTCTATTCATCAATATCAACATGACTTTGATAATTACTACTACTACCAGCATTCCCATGAGTATTACTGCCATATCCTTCTCCATGTAGATACCAAACAAAATATTGCGGCATAAACCCTCTATTTAATAAATGCGTCCACACGGTTTTGGTTAGTGTATACCTCGTATTCTTGCATTTCAAACAAGGACAAAACATCTTCCCACTATCTTTCGTTCTCTCCATATTTGTAGCCTGATACATAAATATTTCTAACCCGTTCTTGAACTCTTCTGTCAACGCCCCATCTAAAGCTTTACGCATATACATCCAACTTCTTAGCTCGTATATAGACATCTTGAAAATAAACTCAAAATACTATCTCTTTTTATTGATTAGACAATAAAGGAGGTGGTCTCTTGTGTCACGTCTAGGCACGTGAATGAAGTAAATTAACCTTATAATATTATTACTTCTTTGATTCAAAGTAATATAACTCTTAATTCGGGTTTTCAGCAATGGACAACCCAATATATAAGGATTTACAACACTATACTAAAATATAAGAGACCTACAATGGGTCTCCAAGATGAAGATGCTCTTATGTTTGAATGATGATGTGTTGTGATTGAATGAAGGAATGAAGATCTATTTATAGGAAAATTTCGGGCTTTACAACGCTTTTACGATGACTTTTTACGATGGTTATACATTCAACAATAATATTACGACGAGTTTACGACGATTTTGCGATAAAATTTTTCATCTACAATTGTTAGGTAAACATGTTTTAAATGTTTTTCACCTAACTCCTTTTTCGACGTACAATCGTCGTAATATGTACATCGAAATGTAGTCGTCGTATATTCGTCGTAATGTTGCGACGAATTTACGACGATTTTACATTTACTAGCAAATCTCTCGTTATCGATGTATAATCGTCATAATTCGTCGTAAATTGTACGTCGAGTTTACGATGATTTTTATATACGACGGTTTTACGACGGTTTTTAAATTAGACGTAAGATTGTCGTAACATCGTTGTAAATTTGCGACGATTTAAAAACCGTCGTAATGGACCGTTGGAAAACGATTGTTTTCTTGTAGTGAATGGCCGGGGCTAGGCTTTGCCAAGTGGAATACAGCAGATTGGTTGATCCAATTCTTAAGAAATCAATTTGGAGTGCAACAGTTTCTGGCAAAATCCTACCAGTGCCCGACCCTGACGACATTCGTATCCCAGCAGAAGTGCGTGACCTTATTATTATGCCACCTAAGGCAAAGCGTCCATCAGGAAGGCCTACGACGAAGAGAAAACTTTCAGCAGGAGAGTATCCTCAGGTTAGTGTACACTAAACATATATTTTTTTCCCAGTGATATTGATTACTGATTAATGATTACTGATATACGCCGTTGCAGGTTGCGAAAAAAAAGAAGCCAAACAAATGCTCGAGATGTGGAAATCCCGGCCATAACCGGGCAAAATGCAAGGAACCATTGGGTTGACCGGGTGTGGCTTTTGTGTGTGTCATGTTGCTTTTTGTGTGGGGATGTTGCTTTGTTTTTCGGGTTTGTTTCTAGCGTACACTATGTTTCCCTCCCTCTATTTAAACTTGGAAAGGCATGAACTATGTTATATTTGTTATGAAATTAATGATGTTTACTGGACAGGGTGTACACAGTGCGTACACCCTTGTCGGTGGACACAGTTTGTGGACACTGTGATCTCGCTTTGTTTTTCGGGTTTGTTTCTAGCGTACACTATGTTTCCCTATATTTAAACTTCGAAAGGCATGAACTATGTTAAATTTGGTATGAAAATGATGATGTTTACTGGTCAAGGGTGTACACCCTTGACGGTGGACACAGTTTGTGTACACTATGATGGTGGACAACATCAATCAGTTTACATCATATAGTGTATTTGCATTATGGCTTATTTATAAGTTTACATTTATATGGTGACGCATATAAATTTATGTGTATGGACGTTAGGGGTTATGTTTAGGGTTTAGGGTTTAGGGCTTAGGGTTTACGATGTAGGGTTTTGGTATCAAAATAATTATCAAAGACATGGTTCTGGATCAAAATAATTATCAAAGACATGGTTCTATAGCAGAGAAAGAAAACATTATGAAAGACATGGTTCGAATAAACAACGGACAATGATCGTGTCTTTGAATTGAAATTGTAGGATAGGACAGCTCGAATAAACGTTTTTTTCAAAAAGCAAGTCATTACGATTTTGAAAATTGCTTTAATGAAACCAGTGTATGAGGATTAAACGCGACCCAAAAAAATCAAATTGGAAACGACAAAAACTAATTAAGTACCTTTTTTGAAACTTGTTGCACCGTTTGACCGACTCGTTTCCCTTCTTTAGTTTATAATGTTTTTCCTGTCGTCCGCTATAAAAACTGTCCCCTGCCTTTTTCTTTAGTGAAACAAGTTTCCGGAGACAGAAAAAGTTAATAACAGCAAAAGTTAATTACACAGAAACTTAATATTTACTTTCTAAAAATGTACTCTGCCAAAGTGATATCATTGCAATTGAAGGAAGTGGAGAGGAAAAACAGTCCATGTTTCAGTATAGGTATTTGATGGTTCATTTGAAAATAGGGGATTAGTTTAGTTTTAGTTTTTCAGGATCGGTCTTTTACATCGTCTACCTAATCAGTGTTTTGCCGATTTCATTAGGACCTGTGGGTGAGGACTTGTATCACTGGGAAGCTATCATAACGGGGCCTAAAGGTTCACCCTATGAGAATGGTGTTTTCAAACTAGACATTCACTTTCCGCTTGACTACCCTTTCGCGCCTCCTAGGGTAAGTATTGAAGCATATCATTGCTTTCTCAAATTGCTGTATTTTTAGGGTTTAGGATTTAGTCAATAAAGATTTCAATTACTAATAACACTGATTTTTTTCAGGTGATGTTCAAAACAAAAGTCTATCACCCAAACGTTACAACTTATGGGAACATTTTTCTGAAGATGTTGAACCCAACTCACTTCAGGACCAACAACAGCATCAATGATGTATTTTTACATATGAAAGAAATAAATCGTTATTGTGTTTTATGGAATATAATATTAATTCCGTTTTAAATAAGGGATTAACTGTGTTTACATGTATATGTAATCAGGTACTGACGGAAATACACCAAATGTTAACTGCCCCACAAATAGGGGATGGACACTTTTTTGTTGAAGAAATTGCTAGGATTTACGTGGAAGACAGGGCTGCTTTTGAAACCACTGCACTTGCGTGGACGGTGGAGCACGCGGGAGGAGCATAAACTCCTTAATTGTACTTTTAATTATGTTTGTTGAATTGTGTATTATGTTTTGGAAAAAAATAAGACCTCTATTTTGTTTGTTGGAAACATTATGACTTCAAATTAACTTTTTAATGTGGTTTTTATGTTTAGGATTTGATAAATTGTCGAAGCATAAATTGTCGAACGATTTCATGAAACATAAGTCATCCAATATTAATTCAAAGATTGTTCATTACATACTAAAAAGGAAATATATGTGTACACTTCATATAGTGTATACATACTAGTGTACACTTTCAAAGGTGTACAGCATAAACTTATTTTTAAAGCATTTCGCAGATACGCCTAGCACACCAATATATGAAGCAACCATTGCAAAGTACTCGGATCTCAGGTTCGAAATGATCAAATGCACAATCAGGCAGCTTGATGACGTCGTCGTTTGGATATGAAAATGAGTTTGAGTACGTATCCATGTATGCAGTTCCGTAATATGAAATCTCAAGAATTAACTCTTCACCTAATTGTCGCACGCGCTCTGACTGTAGACTTCCGTGATGCGTTGCCAACAGTTGCAATGTTTGGCTTGCGGAACAAGGGTCACCCAAGCAAACGCTGAACATGGCCGACGCCAGGGTGGAGAGAGCGTCGGTGGGAACATTTGGTTCCAGCATCGTCCTACTTGCAATGAGATCTGCGCCTCTGGTTGCAAGTCTCAGGCCTTCCCAGTATCTTGCCTCAGGGTTTCCACTCGCCAACATTTCAGAAAGAATGGGCGTCTTTCCTTTCCAGGGCATATGTCGCTGGGGACACAGCAAAGGGCATAAATGTTGGAAGCTTTGAGGACATCGTCGGTGAAAACAAGCCGGAGGGTGCGCTTTCCAGCGCGCACAAATGGTCCGAGTCGCCAAAATGCTTCGCTGCCGAGCCTCTTGAGGATTTCGATAAGAATTTCATCAGGCAAGTCTGGGAGCGACATGTTCGGTTTAGGGTTTGTTATGTTTGGTTTAGGGTTTCTTTTCGCTGGAAAGGAGGCAAGTTTTGTTAAGACATAGCAAAATCATCATATATGGACTTCACTGGTGTGTGGTTGGGGGGTGGAGAATTTATTATACGGTCGAAAATAATATAATAGTGTACTCCCTTTTAGTAAATGTTTCACCTACCCGTTTTGTACCACCAATTTTTTATAATGGTCAGTTCTCTTTTATTAAAATGCCCGAAACTAGTAGTTACATTTATAATGTAGTGCGACGTGTTGGGGTCAGTTTAGCAGTTATTGAAGTGGCTCTTATCTGTATACCAACCACGAATTAGGACATTTATATATCTATCCACTTACCTTGTCTACAAATAAAGGGAATCAAATTTATTTTACACCAAAGTGAAACAACAATGCACTACTTAGACGATGATGTTTTAGGGTTAATAGTAAAGAAACTAGCTGAGGATGATTCCTATCATCTTGGACCCTTTATTCGCGCAGGAAAACGTGGAAGAGCCATCGCGTTGACCGACGACGTGTTACGCTCTGCAGACATCTCTCGATTGGTTGACACACCGCTCGACGTATCCCCTAGGAGCCCTTACCGCCCATTCTTTGAGCGTTGTCTTGGCGCCTGTAATCTAGGAGCTATTTATTTCGAAGCCATTAGAGTTGCCGTGAGTGAGCAAAGATTGTATTCAGCGATTACAATGCTTAACCGACTTGTCCCATATGATAAACATGCTACTTTCGCATGTTCCATGTTTGAAATTTGCGTCGGTCGTCCACGAAGGGCTAAAAAACTCCTCACCGATGTATTCACTCACCACGTCTCTTATGCCGCTTATGAAATGAATCTGTTAGCGCACGCCGTTATACGTCACGTATGGGAGTTCGCACTGGGGCCGTTTGAAGATCCGTGGGGTGGCCTTTGGACCTTCCCCATCACACTACAAGAAGAACCTATATCGGAGTGTGTAGATGACCATTACGATGGCTCAAATACACCAGACTGCGAGTATTGCCTTCTACAATGCACGGCTATGCGCATAAGATATTTACTTTAGTTTAGTTATTTTATTTGCAAGTACTAGTTTAATTTTTGTAATAAATTTAAGGTGGAAACTAAGTGAACATCACTTGACGATATTATTGTAACAAGTAGCTACTAAGAACTTAACTAGTTGTAACAATGTAACTAGTACTTTAATTTCTGTAGTTGGTAAACATCACTTCACAAACTTATTGTAATATTACTTCTGTTCAACTACACGCTAATTGTCTTACCATTAACTGTTACTCAACTACAACTACCCATCCAATTCAATATATAGTTTCATAAAATTGCGAAGAAAGTTCACCCTACACAAACCCTATATCCTTCCCAAAAAATGCCAGATTTACCAGATTTACCAGATCATATTTTCGAAATCATTGTCAAGAAAGTTGCTGAGTCTGACTGCATCTACCTTGGACCGATTATTCTGGCAGGGACCCGTGGTAGAGACATTGCGTTTAGCGCGGAAGTACTCGGCATACCTATGGACATTGCATGACACACCATCTCGGATATACCCTGGTGGAGTATATCGGCCTTTATTCCTGCGCTGTTTAGCGTCGAAAAATCCACGGGCCATATTGGTCGAAGCTATAAGGTTCGTGTCAACAGAGGAGAAGATCTATACCGCCATCAGGATGCTAAATAAGCTCGTTCCATCAGACGTCTATGTCACTTACAGCTGTGCCATTTTGCAAATGTGCGTGGGTCGCCTTAACAGAGGGAAAAAACTTCTAAAGATGGTTTTCAGGTACCACTATCCTCATGATTCTCGTGAAATTCTTGAAGTCGTCGAAGATATAGTATATTTATTCTGGTCATTTTGCCCACGTAATAAACATACATACGAGAAAACGTTCAGGTACCTTAGTCTCATTCATGAAGACTACTCTGCGTCGTGCGAAGTGTATCACGAGAATGTGCATTACATTGTTAGATGTGAAAATTGTTATCTTAGATGTTCGGCAGAAAAAATAGCAAAAATGCTATAGTATCGATGTGCTATTGTTACATGTTGTGGTTATTTCAATAATAAATATGAAGTTTAAATACAGCCTTATGTCTAAAAGGGTTTACAATCCTGTATACCAATGTTGGTGTACGTTTACGAACCCGTATACCAATGTTAGTGTACGTTTACGATCCCGTATAGATGTTAAAATTGTTATCTTAGATGTTCGGCAGAACGCTTTGCAAAAATGCTTTAGTATCAATGTGCTATTGTTAGATGTTGTGGTTATTTCAAAAATAAATATGAAGTTTAAATACCGTCTTATGTCCAAAAATTGTTTACAATCCCGTATACCAATGTTGGTGTACGTTTACGAACCCGTATACCAATGTTGGTGTACGTTTATGAACCCGTATACCAATGTTAGTGTACGTTTACGATCCCGTATTCATCGTTCTTTAAAAAGGTGTAATGTTACTTTATTTTTAACCTGTAAGTGTACGTCTATAGGTATACTGTAATAGGTGTACATAAATAATTACAGTGAATAGGTATAGTGTAATATGTATACTGTAATAGGTGTACATAAATAATTACAGTGAATAGGTGTACATAATTAATTACTGCCCTAGACGAAATGAAATCCTGGCACTTTCATTTATGTATTTCGAATGGCTTAATTCTCCATATTTTATGTAAATGGTAAGAGCTATGATAAAATCAACATAAGTACTAAAAATATCATAAATCAACATAAGTACTAAAAACGAAAGCAGACAAGCAATTTCAAAAACATCAGTTGTAGTTCGGAACACTAAGACAACATAAATAATTAAAGACACACGAATGCAACCAAATACTAAGATTACGGCTTTCACCAATCGAGCATGACCGGCCAGCTTGGAACGACGTTCCTAATGAAGCGGAAGAACCTTTGGGTCTCTTGGGCCCAGAAACAGGTTGTGCACTTTGGCTGCTTAAAGTCTTCTCTAAACCACTGGAGCCAGTAATTGATAACCCCGCACTGACAGGTGTACAGCGCAAGGAATCTCGGATGAAAGGCAGCCGCTTTCTCAGTGAAATCCACTGGCAAATCGAAATTCCATCCGTGTGGAACATCGGCCAGCAACAACCAGCTCAACCTCCTCCGGTTTTGCACCGTGAGCCTGCCCAAATACTCCTCTGCACGGACGAAGTCTTCCGGCACAGCTCTGAGCCACATCCCGTACACAAAAAGGGCTCGGTCGTAGCCTCCCTCCGCAGCAGCCCTTATCAATTCCACGCCTTCACCATCGTGGAAGAAAAAGTAGGCTTGCATCCCCCTGTCGAAAATAACCCCTGGATTACCCGCGTCATAGAATCTCCTCATCATCGCTGGGTAATGTGGAACCGCCGCTGGTTCATGCACGATTTCGGCGGGATCAATGGCTCGATAGAAACCCCTGCTTGTGCTGATACGGTTGAAACGAGAACAAACAGCACGGAGGCGGGCTATTTCCCTTATAGTTGGGTTTGTAGCGGCCAGAATTTGTTCCAGCAATTCATCAGGGAGTGAGAGAAGATAGGAAAAAGCACCTTCACCACCTCTGTTTCTCCTTCGAACCATCGTTTATTTCGGTGAAAAGAGAAAAGATAAGAAAATGTAATGAGGAAGAAGAGATAGGATTGAAAATGGTTTGAAAGAGGAAGTTATGATGGTTCTAAGTAGGCAGTTATGGTGAAGGGATTGAATTAAAGAGGTAGTAGTGCGGTTTTAATAGAGCTGAATAGATGTCTTTGAAGAGAGACGTTGAAAGAGACGAAAATGTGTCTTTTCGTTTACCGCCAAAATTAAATTACCACAATAAATACAGAGAATTACCAAATAAAAGCAAATTTCACCATTAAACTTTTTATGATATCTGAAAAGAGACGAAAATGTATCTTTGAAGAGAGACGTTGAAAAGAGACGAAAATGTGTCTTTTCGTTTACCGCCAAAATTAAATTACCACAATAAATACAGAGAATTACCAAATAAAAGCAAATTTCACCATTAAACTTTTTATGATATCTGAGACAATAGTATTAATATACCACAATACATTTATGATATCTGACACAATACTATTAGTATTTATGATATTATCGAAATTTCATTAACAACCCAGCCCTTTTTGTATTTGTTGGAAACTAAATTTCTTGTCATCATTACAGACGTTTTCTCAACATCACGTTACCCGAGATATAGAGTACAGATTGTCCACATAGACGAAATCATGCATATTTTTAAAAATATGCGTACAGAAATAGGTAAGGTGAGACTTTTAATAAATAATGTCGTTTGTATATCCATCTTCTCTGAAAATTCCCACAAAAGAGATAATGTCGTTTGTATACTCAAATATATAATATGTGATAAATGTAACATTCAGGTGTACATATTGAGGTCTTCTTTTTTTTTTTAGTTATTAGCCGTACAAAGAGAGTTAAACTGAGACTTTAAAGATATAAGAGAATGGTTCTCGAGAAAGTGAAACTACCACCCACCGAAATTAAATAAAGTCAACACAATTAAAGTATACATAGATAGAAGGAAAACAAAGTACACCTACATACATACATACGTAGTAGGCCTAAATAAAAGATTAAATCATAAAGTACGAAATATGGAATCTAATCGATTACACACCAAGGTGTACACACCAAGGTGTACACAACGCAGGTGTACACACCGAAAATGGTCACCATTCTTCCATTGACGGCCCAGAACGCGCTGCATACCAAACAAATACGAAGAACTTTTGTGTTTCCTGTGCCCAGAAACACGACGTGCACATGCTTGGCCCCTTTAACAATTTGCCATGCCAATCAAGTTGAGCATTGGCAACACCACAGCGACAAAACCAAAGTGTGGCAAACAGAGCATTAGTCTCAAATCTCCTACTCGAAAACTCTTCAGGCAAATTAACATAATCACGCTCACCTCCATCAATAATTTTCCGAATTATTCTCCTCATTGCCCCCTGCTTAGTTTTGAAAGATACTCTAAACCCACGGGGTCTTCGACCACTGCTTTCATGTACATGCCATACATGTAAATACCTGTTTCGTATCCCATATCTGCAGATTCCTTGATGAGTTTTATGCCATCTTTGTCTCCACGGCAGAAGTAGTCTTGCATCCCCTTCATGAACAGCAAACCAGGATTGCGTGCGTCATACATCCTCCTCAACAAGTTGGGAAATTCCCAAAACGCGATAAAAGGCATATCGAAATCTTCGGGAATAGGCATCTCCAATTCCACGGGATCAACCGATGCGAGAAAATTTTTGGTTAAAGTGCAGGCCTGGAACCGTTTGCAAACTTGCTTCAATGTGAAAATTTGTTGGACGGAGTTGTAACTGTATGCGAGAACCTTCTCCAATCACGGATATCCGCATCACATCGCCCTCTCTTTGGTGCCATAGTTAATTTGTGAGGTTCAATTGTGATGAAAACGGTTGTCTATGGAGATGGAATAACTACGGTTTAGGATTTGTGAAGCGGAACGGTTCTTTATGTTGCATATATATAATAATAAAATAAGCCCACTAATTGAGCGTATACATTAAATGCGGTTTCCGTTAAGATTGTAAATGAGTTTGTAAAATTATTGCATAAACCAAAAATTTCCTTGTTGTACACCCAGTTGATATACACCTAAATGGATATTGGTGGTGTACAGGTACATATTTCGGCTGGAACAAAGTATTCACACACCAATTAATAAATACTAAAATAAAGTGAAGTATAAACAAATTTTTCTTTATGTACTCCCATTTGATGCATATTGGTGTACAACTAAACGCTATTAGGTGTACGGAAACACAATTATTAAAGTAAACTAAATTATAACCAAACTAAATAATTGACACACCATTTAATAGATAGTAAAGTAAACTAAAGTAAACTAAATTATAAGCATATAAATTATCAAATAAACCCACATCCTAAACATTATAAAACACATAATCCAACAAATAACCCTTCCTTAAATTGTCAAGTTCAACATTAAACTTCAACATTCGTCCTAAGCGTTGGCAATAGCCGGATTCCCGACAAACTCTTCGTATGAGTCGATGGCGTATTTCTTCCATAACCTGTCAACGTCATTGTCCGTTATCAAAGCCATATCCTCCACTCCAAGCCCTGCAGCATGCATCTCTAAGAATTTGGCCGCACATGACCCACAGTCACCGGATATTTTGTTCTGATATATGCCCTCCAAACGACTCCATGTGTAAGGGGTGGTGCGTAGGTCTTCCGTTAATTTGCTATCCAAATAACGCTTCAATATAAATGGCATACTTTGACACACGGGCGCCATATACTGCTCCACAGCCGCTTCATCATTATGACTGATGAATGAGTCCAAAATCTTTATGTTGCCCGTTTTAAAGTCAATTACAAGGCCCACCCAATGCTCAGACCCCCAGTTCATCGGGACGTATACAACGTCCACAAACCGTATAAACATTTGCCTCTGCCGCTGATTAGCCCACTTTGCTGGTTTTCCCAATACAATGCCCTGAATGGTTTTCCCCCAGTCATACTGATTTCTGTCTCGCGATATGAAATCGTTGTAGTAGTTGCCGATGATGGATATGAACAAGGTGTCTACAAATGCTACCCTGTCTTTCAAGTAGATTTCCCCTCTACGTCTCCAAAGCATGGCCATTATGACTTGCATGTGCTGACGAATAACAAAACATAAATAACATATATTACAGATAATTAAGATTGAGTAAGTACTAACTATAACTATATACTCACCATCGTGTTAACCCACTCAGTAGGCTTCACAATTTGTAGGAAGAATTGATTGTTCACAGTATGACCAGTGACAATGCAAAAGTCGCTGTAATGAGAGCAATTGGTAATTGATTAGAATGAAAGTTTAAGGATAAATTGCTTTCAATACGATATAACTTACATGTTTCTTTCACGCGATAATAACTCGTGAAATGCCTTGAAGTGGTCTTGTTCAACGGTTTCGAGTGGTTTGTACGCAGCTTTCGATCTGGATACAAATAAAGCTTTCACCTTTGAATCAGCGGTGTAAATATCTTGAATCTTGTCCGACCGTACACGTGCGCGTTTTCCTCTACCTCATCCTCCTCTTCCTGTTCCTCTTCCTCTTCCTCCTCTTCCTGTTCCTCCACTTTTTCTCCTTACACCAGATGATCCCTCAACTTCTTGTGGGGGTTCAGGCGCAGTATGGTAATCTTTCCCCGCTAATGAGTCGTCCTCATTAGCCACAACCTACAAACCACCGTAACAATAATCATTAGCCACAACCTACAAACCACCGTAACAATAAAGCGTATAACATATCAATCGTATACCTAGCGTATACCTAAACACTACTGACCTCTGCATCCTGCGCATCTGTCTGCGCTTCATGTTTCTTATATGCGTAGCACAATGGGTGAGGAGTCTGAGGTTTGTAGACTACTAAGGGGCCTGACACCAAATTTGTTCTACCACCATCCACCTGAATAAGTCATAAATAACATAGCACAATACACCCACGTTATGAAACTTAATAGAGTCAGCTGCTGACTAAACAATTAGTTCACCTCGTTGAGGCCAGAAGGTGGATCTTCATCCGGAATGACGAAGTAAGGAGGTGGACGAGTTGTTCCTGAATTGGCTTGTCCTGGTTCAGGGATCATCGTCGGAGCTCCTGGAGTCTTCAAGTACGCATGGTCCCTGGGAGAATAATGGTCCCTGCCGTAGTAAGTAGATGTCCCTTCTTCATCATCTCTTTCTTTCTGGTGTACACCATCTTCGGGGTGTACACCATCATTATGGCGTACGCTAGACTGTGCCCCATCATAACCTCCTTCTTCACCTCCATCTTCGGCTTCGTCTGCATCTTCATCCGGTTTTGATCCATCTTTTTTTGTGTGCTGTCCTTCATCATCCTGTTCCCCTTCTTCTTTTGACTGGTGTACATCGTCATCTTCTTCGTCCTCTTGGTATACGCCCAATCTCTTGTCCAACTTGGTCTTAATGTCACGAAGGAGCAAAGTATTCTGATGTACTATTCATCTTTTAAGCTCTTTAATCGGTCCACTTTCAGGGGATTCATCTTCCGATAGATTAGAAGAGTTCTTGCCCCTGCCTCTCTTCCTCTGCATGGGACGCTTTTCAGTTTGATGAGTTTTCTGTTTCTTCTTCGGTATGGTGGATGGCTCAGGTTCCTGTGCATTGGTAAACTCGTCCTCTGCATCACTAATATCCACGATAGGGGCCGGTGCCACTGCAAAATCCGAAGGTGTGAATTTGTACCCCTCCGCCATGAGTTCCTGCATGAATGCAACTTCGGCATCCTCTACCTCATCTCCCCAACGCAATTCATTCTGTTGGTCATTCTCACCATCATCCAGTACCATCTGTTTCACAGACAACTAAGACAAAAAAATACAATTGCAAAATTACCAACCAAAATGACAGAGCACTTATCTTTTAAGACAAGTACTACAAAATAAGACTACAAATAGTACTAAATATAGTACTACAAATAATTTACCAGAGGGTCGGATTCCACGGCATGTATGTCCCCAAGATGCAACAGTGTGATAACGTTTTGACAGCCTTCGGGATCTTTAAGGAATGTCTTCAAGTTATCAGGTTGAGGAATTTTGGAAATCAACATTGGTATACATTGAAGGGCCATGAGTTGTAGTGATAGAGGGAATCCATAGCATGCACTGGTTTTCTGTTTAAGTTGACGGCGCAATCGTGTTACAGGATTCTCCCTTTTCTCGGCATCCGTGATTGCCTTCGGAGCTTGAAAACGAGATACTGTTTTGTTAAAGGATACCCTCCCCCATGGATACAGCATGAACCTATCCAAGTCAGTCAGCATCTCAATGTGTTTCTCGGTGAGGGCCAGATTTTTGCTATTGCAAAACAGAACACCGTCGACAAGAACGATTAGGGCCAATGGAAGCCGTTTCCAGCGGGGTAGATCCGGGTCCTTTAGCATTTCAAGCACATCAAACACGTTCATCGCCTTCGCTCTTCCGAACAGGTCTTTCCAGATTCCTGTTTTTCCGACATCTTCTTCTTTTTCTGTGCTATCAGGTTCGGGATTGCAATTCAATCCAGTGATTTCCTTGAACTCCCGTATCGAATATCTCAGAGGCTGTCCACCAAAGAGGAACCATATCTCGTGTTTCTTCGTGGTCACAAGTTGTCGTGATAGAAGGGCATGGACAAGTTTGGCGCTGTTGCAACATCTTGCAACAGGTAGATGGAATAACTTCCCAAACTGGGAATGAAGTAGTTTCTGAAGATCTTCAGTACCCTTTAATGCCTCGACAAGGAGGCCAATGACATTGGCCTTTGAATATATGTTCAACTGAGCACCAACGGTGTAGCAACCATCACCGAGGACTCTTTTTGGTAGTTTTTCCGAAAGGTTATTTGAAGCTTCTCCATCTTCGATGCCTGTATTTGAAGGTTCTCCGTCTTCCATACCTGTATTTGAACGAAAACAACAATTCCAAAATGCACGAAAAGATATAGTATTCTGGATAAACAGTAAAATGCGAACCCAGGGAAAATATTTGAGGGAAAGGAGTTCGAAGGAGTTCGAAAGAGAGAACAGAGATGTGGAAAAACTATCCTATTCGTATGGTCTCCTATAAAAACTTATGTAACTGTTTCTAGATGATATAAGAGTAATCCAACCGTTTGAAATCAATATATAGACATAAGTACTACAGTTCATAACCGCCAATACATAAATCAAGCCAATCAGGCGCCCCGTTTCAATCTTAATCTTAATTTCAATCTTAATTTGAATTACAAACCGCCAGTACAGTTCAGACAAGGTCGAAGTTCATAAATGTAACTTACTTTTAGAATTCTGAACAGGCCATTCTAGGAAAAGAGGAGCGAATTGTACTTTGGCTCTACACCGCCGGCGTGGATTCAGACGACTCGAGTGAATGGGATGTTCAACCCGGTCACTCCGTCGCGGTGGCATGGGCGGCGAGTGATTCGTCGGAGCTGTCTTCGAGTTACTCCGGAGCACTCGCCTCGAAACCGGAGGCACGGTGTTGTTCTGCGTTAACGATTTTTTAACTTTCCGCGCCATTACAACAGTTAATCGGAGGCTAATCGGAGCTGGATTGCCGGAGATGGTAGATAGACGACGTCCAGATGTGGATCCCAAATTAAATTTTTAATTTAATTGTTGGGGTGTCGATAAATTATACATTTCGTTTTACTTCGGTTTATGCTATTGGACTTTGGTTTTAAATTTTGTGTAATCGGTTTACCAAATCGGATTTAATCAGACATTTTTAGTTATTTTACTTCGATAATGGCAATTTAGAAAATAAAATTTGCCTAAGGGCCCTTGTGGGAATACAAACAGTAAAAACAGCTCTTTCCTTCTATGGTTTTCAAAACATCCTATTCCTCAAATTTAAAACTTAAAACATCCCATTCAGCAATTTTCTCTATTTTTTATTTATGCCTCTTTATAAACAAACTTTTGATTCATAAGATGTATTGTATTTATAACCCCAAAAACTCGACTCTCAAACAAATTTTTGATTCATAAAAGAAAACCTAAATTTAGTCCAATAAGGAAACCATACCGTGGGGGCCCCCCACACCCCCCAAGTGAATCCACGTCCACCTATGCTCAGTTACATTCCTCAACTCGTTCTAGCAATGTCATTTTAGTTATCTTTATCACGAGAAACAACAAAATGGATTAGCTTTATTATTAATTGAGACAGCTATGTTTGAAAAACTCGACTATGACAGTTTAATGAACGATTTTACACGAAAAAATGTAAGAATATCTTACAAACCGTTTATGAAGTTTGATTGTTTTATGAATTTTTTGTTTCATTTTATTTTATTTTAATTTTAAAAAATAAATATAAAAAGAAATATTTAAAAAAGTTCGACGCGGGCAATGGATTGGTCCGGCAGTAGTCGCAGATATGTGGTTTTGTAAATTTAACTCTTACGTCGTCTTGTTTCTTTTTTGTTCGTGGGTTGTCCGTGGTTAAGGCCTTCTTGTTGCATTATTAGTTCTGTAGTGAATAAAGTGCATCTATATTAACGGATGACGATTGATATGAAGATAGGAAATAGTATCGTTTAATGTAATATCTGAACACAGGTTGGCTATTATCTTCAGAAGTTTGCGTTTCATATTTTTTTTTTAAATATAGAACAGTTCCAGTGTGAACCTGTTTTGTTGGCTCGTCTAATGCATATCCGCTTTGATCTGTTTGATCTTGCTGTCTCTAGATCCGGTGAACCTGTTGTTCTTCACGCTTGATTTCTTTGAGAACACGTGTGACCGTGAATTATCTTTATTTGGAACTCCAGAGTCTTGCCCACCAACTCTCTGATACATTGTGGAATCTCTTGAGACGGTGACTCATCCTTTTCCGAAGAGCTTGACTCCTGAATGGTTTTGAATTATAATTAATTGCAGCGCCCATGGAGTTGTTATTATAAAATAAATCCTATGTAGTTAAATGACGGACTGACCTCTGTACCAGTTAACTCCTCAGCTGTTTTGTTTGTCAGTTTCCTTGTATCTCTGTCAAATATGACAAATTTTGACTCCCCGGTACGATCGGCAACAAATTCCACTAAATCTGTATTGCAGTGTTTCATTTAGACCAATATATTGTATATATTCTCATATGTTAAATTGCTTTTATATAATGTATTTACTTGATGATTCCTATGGCATTTGGATTGTTGCAGCTGTTGCAAACAAAGGTAGTGGTTGAGCGGGTGAGTTTTTTGGAGCACTTCCCGCAGGAGACATAGTGCCAGCCGTTACGTGCAGATATCCCTTCAATTTTAGCGATGCATTTGACTTCTTTTCCCTGCAATATTAAGTATATACAATATAATAGTATTTTAATGCTTACGACTATGTGTATCAAATGGATTGGATGTACCTTGTTATCTCCACCAGAAAGGTATTGAGTGATCTGTTTCAGATTCCACGTCACCATGTCTGTTGTTGCATTTGGGTTCTTGTCAATGGTAGGTTGTGCTGTTTTGGCATCTATCCCCATGCTGTGTGTGGTAGTTTGGAAATCAAAGGTTTTGTTATTTCAGTAGATGTAAGTACTGTGAAGAGTAGGGCGTGATGACGCTTACGTTTTCATGAATTTTGCAACCATGGCGAGCATTGGGTTACGTAGAACTTTGTTGCGCCCGTCGAGTTCAAGTATAGAGTTCCTGTATTAATAATGCGGTAATTGATATTCAGTTTTATATGCAGACAATGACGAGTGTTTTGTGGTTTGAATGTTTAAACACCCGACGGAACTCAGACGCTTGGTCGTCCCATATTGTGATTCTTACGGTTGTTTTCCTGTCATAAGGGTAGTTATATAATTGTAGTGTTATCTATGATTTGTGAAATGAGATTTATATGTATGTATTACTTACTCCTTCATTAAGAGCAGAAGTACTATCTTCTGGTTTGAGTTCGGATCATCAAGATTAGCGCCTTGAATACTAAGTACCTGGCCGACCACATCTTCAACAGGAAATAGTGATGTACATATTAGCATGGGTTGTTTGGGGACTCGTATTTGGCTTTGGATTATGTAAAATTTTAGAGTACCTGGTAATTCAATGTTGCTGTTGGCGAGTGACAAGAAATCTTCATATGAGCAGAGCCTGAACTTCTCCTTTTTGATTGGTAGACTTATATCTGGTAAGCTCCTAATTTCGGTTATGTCAGTGAATCTGATGCACAGCTTGTTGTCAGTGACCTTGTATCGTTCATACGCTTGAACCACCTCGAAGTTTTAAATGTGGTACAGTATCCCTTCTTCCAACATTTCTTTAAACAGTTTTAGACGGCGGTGGTGTATTGATGCTTGGATGAATGTCTCCTGTTTTGTAGTTGTGAGAAGATTAGTTTAAAAAGTTTTAGGAGAACGTTTTTTTGCCTATTGTTGAGAATCTTTGGGATGTTATGTTTATGAGTTTGTTTACCTTTTCATCAAGTAGTAGCATATCTACACTCATCAGTTCACTATTCCTTATGTAATTTTTGGCTTCCCATAGCCTCATAAGCCGCACAATAATGCTCTGCATTGAGTTACCAAGGGCCAGTCGGTTTAGCGGGGTGCTCAGTGGTAGGTTTCCGTTAGCTGCTTCCATAGTCACCTTTGTTTGCCTGTTAAATAAACACATTTTTCAAATGAGAAATAGGATTAGTTTACTGGAGAATTCACTATCTCATATTTGAGAAGCGGCAACAAAAAATATTCAAGAATTTTACATGGAGGTTTTGAGAGTGGTGTATGTGTGATTTGTGAAGTTTGTGGGGGAGAGTCCCTGGTATTTATACTGCTCGGGGATGCTTGGGTTTGTCTTAATTGAGTTTGTAATTATTGAGCCGGGGATGTAATTTTATGTTTTTGGTCCAGTTACATATGTAAGTGGAATTCAACCGATTCATTATCCATATATAAGTATGTGGAGTGAATTATGTATTAGATTCTTTCATCATTCTGAATGATGTGGCAGTTACAAATAGTTATCATTCAGAGGTATGAGCTGTGTAATTTCTTGGAGATCAAGTTACTCCCTCCACTGCGTAGCACTTATTATTACTTTTAGGCACGTCTCACCTTATTTATATCAGAAACAAAATTATAGCATGCGTTTAAGTGCGTACCGTCTATTTCTATTTTTTTTACCTTTGGTAACAGACTATCTTTTCAGCTTCGTCGTCTCCATTTTTATTGGTTTTATTTATCTTTCTTTTGGTTTTGTCGATCCAGCTCTCCTACGTCTATCTATTTAGTAGATTAAATTAGCAGATGAAAGGTTAAGTGAGTTAATGGCGGAAGAACATTTATTGTACGCAGATTATTTTCACTATACAAAGACGAAAAAAGCAACCCATTCAAAATGTTGAACCCACATAACGAAGTGAACTAAAATGAGTACCAACAGCATAAAGACAGTCCTCTTGAATCTCTCCCAAATGATTTATTCATTGAAATAATGGCTAAGGTTGGGTCTGAGTCAAGAGAAGATCTTCACAGTTGCATGCTCACATGCTCTGAACTTTTGACAAATGTTGATGATCCTAAAGTCTTCAAGAACCTCAACCTTGATGATCTTGTTGCCAACCCGTTGCTGGCAAATGGGCGTCTGAGACATGTTATGGGAATACTTGGGTATTTTGTAGGTGATCACTCCGTTAGAGGTCTTCACTACTTGAAGAGAGTTGCGGATGCATCCGTTGATGAGGCGGTCTATCTATATGGTGTGATCAAGATGTGCATGGGTGACTTAAGTGAAGGAAGTCTCTATGTGGACAAACTTAATTGGCGTGCTGGGACGGGTCATGCTGATAACTGCTGGGCCAACATAAAGACTACTATGCATGGAATATGGGTTATTAGGAAACCTGTCTACTACCGATCAATTTTGGCAATGAAGCCTAACACCTGTTGCAGCGTGTTTGCCCAGCGCCCCAAATGTCCCAAATGTTACTACTTTGTTAGTTTAGTTTCATTATTTTGGTGTTCTTGAATTTCCACTTTTATGTGTTCTGGTTTTATTTGTTTGCTGTTTCTGGAATTTCCCTTTTATGTGTTTTGCAACTTTCCCAATTCAAATAATCCAGCTTTGTTTTTCTTTGAAATTTGTTTTAAGAGGAATACCTGTTTCTGAAAAGTCAACACAATTTGGTCCTAAGCTTAGCAAAAACAGATTACAAGTAACAAAGGTGTACAGAGAGAGGTTGTAAGTTTAAAACATCGTGCACAATCTGGGGTGTAGCTTACTGCTAAGCTGGTAATCGATGTTGAAATGTAGGAAGTCATTGAATTGTGTTTGTAGACCTTTTCAACCCAAATATATTACTCGTTGTATACTCGTCACTCCAGTGGCGGTCTTGAACACGGGTTTCAGGAGGGGAAAGTGGTAAGTAGTGTTGTGGCATCTCTTCAGACGGCTTTTCCAATTAGTCTTTAACTCCAGCTCTGTTCGACCAGGCAGCCTGGAAAATGAAGGGAAGACAATATGAGGGATTACCTTTTAGGCTCATAAAGATATCAATCTATGAAAAAGAATCAGTACTGTAGTTTTTCAAAATACTTACACGTTCAGCCATATGTGGCCTTTTTATTCCGGTTTTGTCGTGCATTTCAACAATGAATAGTTTATATCACCTGCAGCATTGATGTATTTATCATGGAAAGATTAGTATAGGTAGTCCTTGAGAAACTATGAATAACGAAAGACAGACAACTACGTAACAGGTAAAGATCGTTGGGGGTCATTTTAAGGAATCATCATCATCATGTGCATTATCGATTTGAAATGAGAATACAATTGAAAACAAAAACAGAAAAACACGGAGTGGGCTGCACAACCTGAAAAATTAAGAAATATCCAGGAAAACAAATGTATTTAATCCCCAAGAACCTGACTAACCTCGGCATCTTGAAGAATCATTCCCACGTAAAGGTAGGTAGTGTAAACTTAATACACTGCAAAATGAAAATTCCAGTTAAGTCGGAGTGAGCTTGATTAGGGGTTACGTATCAATTTATGAAAAACCTTAGCTTACAAAGCCAAAATTCAATTTGGTGGTTACACCTAAACGCTGTTTCAGAATTCCCGATACAATTTTCTTTTTAAACCGAGACCGATAAATTGGAGACCTTTACAGTTAAGAAAGAGCAGCAGCTTCTGTGCAGGAAGTATCGGTGATTTGTTTGGAAGAAGCCTGCAAAAAATTCCAGGATGAAACACACAAATCCGACTAACTTAAACGGTTTTTTGCAACTTCCCCAATTGAAATAATCCAGAAGTGTTTTCCTTTGATATTTGTTTTAAGAGGACTACCTGATACTGCAAAGTCTACACAATTTGATCCTAAGCTAAGCATGAACAGATGGCAAACATATATGTGATTTCCCTGACTTTTTGTAGTTGTTATCATGTTCGAGAATGAGAACGTCAACCTTAAACGTGAGGAAAAACACAGAATAACAATTTAGAAATTGGAGAAGGGGAACTAAAATAAATGACCACCCCACCTAAATTGGAAGATATTTGTGCCATTTTTGGGACCATACCATCATCACTCTCAACCGTTGTTGTCGTCTAACTCATCTTTAGCTATTTTAATCTAGCAAAAGCACCAGCAATTCAATTACCATTCAGACATGGAGGTCCTGCCTGAACAGTTTAGAGAGACGATACAGACCGTTTAAAATTACAGCAAGTAAGTAGTTTATAAAAACTGCAGCATTGATGTATTTATCAACAAAAGTTTGATATTGAGAGTCCTTTTAAAAGTAAATAGAAAGGAAGACGGACAAGTACGCAACAGCTTTATATCTTTGGCGTAAAGAAATAGACACAACACTACAAAAATCATTTTAAGGAAGCATCATCAGATATGCAAATCTATGATAAGTTTAAAACTTTGATAACGAATCTGTGAAAATCTGACATACCTGGTTGGGGTAACTTCTGTGAAAGTTTTCATTTTGTAATCTCAGAGAAGTTTTCAGATAAGTTCTTGCGCGATATTTGTTTGAACTTCATACTTGCTGGGAGATACATTTCCTCTGTGGCTCTGAGCTGGTTTTTGTGGTCTTCATTTTGTAATCTCACAGCACTCCATTGCTTAGCAGGTTCAAAATCAACTTAATCCATAAAGAGGTCTGCTTTTGTATGGTTCTCAATGCAGACCTCTACAAACATAGTACCCTGGTGTAAAAGAACAATACATGAGTATGTATCTATATTGTACAACCAATAGAATCAAATAGATACATTAAGAAAAACTGAAGCTCCGTAAAGGACGAGTTAGTACCAACCGGTTCGACGC